CCTGGGCACTGTCACTGCCCTTTCTGAAAACGCGCTTCTCTGCGACGCAAATGAGGGTGTGTGTTTTGCGAACAACCCTTGGTCTTTGAGCCGAAAGAGGGAAGCCACCATTTCTGAGATCCATGTTCGAGGTCCAAACCCACATTTGTCAGGGGTGGGGGGTGCTTGATCCGTTTTTTTGGTGGTCGCGTCGGGTCGAGATTCATCAGACGTATTCCGCGAAGGGCGGGTGGCTCAGCAGCTCTCCCGGGCCCAGCGGCGCCGTGCCACGGTCATTCGAAGGACCCGAAGGACCCGCCGCGCCCAGCGCGGCGCCGGGCGCGGCGCCGGCAGCGCCGGCGTCGCGCTCGAGGTCGTGGAAGGTGGTGACGCCCATGCCGCCCAAGCCGATGCGGAGCCTACAGCAAAGCCATGTGGGCCGGGTTCCATTTTTTTGAGGCTACCCCCTTTTTTGGTGCTTCTAAAGGAAAGCGACCAAAATTGGGGGGGGGAGTCCCCTAAAACGACAGGCCCAAGTCTTCAGGAACGCACGTGCGTGTTTTGTTTTGATTTCAGCCACTCTCTCCGCTTGAAAGGCAACAGAAGGCCCCAGCCTGGCCATTGGTGAGGGCCCTGCAATGAGCGGCTTCAGGGCATTCCTGAGCCAAACGGAGTGCCAGGTTCTATGCTCTTAGGCTATAGGACACGAGAAATGTGTGTGTGTGTGTCAAAAGGTTGGAACCAGGCCACTGCCGGCGCAGGTTCAGAAGCAAGAAAATGATGCGCTGACATGTACCGAAAGGAAATCGGAGTTGCCAAGCCCCTGCCCCTCAAACGAAGTGTTTCCTGCATATAAAGTGAATGTCCCTTCGCAGGAGTGTACCTTATGTTTCAGCAGGACTACCACCTCTATCATCGATGTCGCTTCCTAGGTCACGGAAAAACAGCAACATGACAAGTGACTCCAACACAAAGAGTCAGAAAACATACAGCACAAAGCAGGAAACAGTTTGAAGATAACGCCGTGGTTTCCAAGGAGCAAGGCTCAATTTCTACCGCGAGCGGGAAATGGCACACAACCCACTGCTTGCAAGGGGCGTCTTGCGAATCTTGGTCTGATGTAAAGCGACTTGCGAAACTTGCTGTGTGCCAAATCCTTTTAGCAACGCAGTTAAGGGATGGAACCGTGGTGGTTGCAGAAAGGTCGGTTTTTCCGCAGTCAGTGAGTCGGGGCGACTCCAGGGGAAGCCTCCCCAAGAACAAGCCACTTAACTCGCTCAGAGGAAGGGCCATCAACGCCCTGAACCTGCCTTGGGCTGTCAACCCAACCCCCGGAACCCCCAGCCCCCCACCCCCAGCCCCACCCCCAGCCCCACCCAAGCCACCCCAAAGCCGTTCTCGCGAGCGGCCAAAGCCTACGGTTGGGCACTGGCTCTTCCAGCAGCGCCGCGCCCAACAGCCCGGCCATGAGCCGCATGAACCTAAGCTGGCCACCCAAAGTCGGTTGCTGCTTCCTTGTGGCTTGTCAAGATTCATCCAAAGCCTTCAAAACGCGACACTCCGTTCGCAAGGCCCTTTCGCCTTTTCTGGGGCACTCGACTTGCCGACGCCAGCACTCACGCGGCCAAGAAGCTGGCTCAACTCCAGGGACAGGCCCAGCACCCCCAAGGCCTGCAGAGGGTCTTGGGGTGTCAGCCGTGCGCCAAAAACCTGTCGGACACAACCCTTTTGTAGGCCACGTGTTTTCTCCAGCACCGACGATACGAAGAACATCTGCAAAAGGCCTGCCCGCGTCCGTGATTGGGAGAAAAGGGGCTTTAAATCTTCCCCTTGCCCGGCTTGGCTGCAACGGCTCCCATGACTGCCCTGCTGCGGTTTAAGGGGATTCCCTTCCCTCACAGAAAGCGGCAACAAAGAATAACATTTCTGCAACCAATCATTGGCATGGAGTAGTTGGAAAGGGAACCCCGAAAATACATCCCCCTCCCTCTCCCCCCTCCCCTCCCCCTCCCCCGCAACCGGGAAAAATACAAATAAAGCCAGCTTTGTTTGAGAAGGTTAGGTGGGTTAAGACTGTGGGTTTGCGGGTTTGTTGAAGGTAAGCTTCTGGGGCCAACTCCGCCCCCACCACCCACCCGAAACCCCCACCACCCACCCACCCCGAAACCCCCACCGCCCACCCACCCCGAAACCCCCACCACCCACCCACCCCGAAACCCCCCCAAAAAAAAATCCCCCTCAAAAAAAGGCCGGGCCTTCGCGCGCATCTCCACCCAGCGCCGCTCCACCTCCCGGCGCTCTGTGCAGCTCCAGGGCCCCAGCCGCCCCTCCTGCGCCATGCCTCGAGGCGACGCGTCGTCGCGCGCGTCCGACGCGCGCGTCCGACGAGCGAGGCGCGCGTGGCGTGGGAAGGCCCCCCCCGTCCCTCCCCCGAGCCCAGAAAGCGGTGGCGGAGGTGTGCGGCTCAAAGAAGAGAAGTCTGAGGGTTTGGGCTTGAAAGGTTGGTTGGGTTGGCAGTTTTCGCGGTTTCTTGGCGGTCGTGTTGTGTGTGTGGTTTGCAGGAGGCTTCCACAGGCAAACCCGAGGAGAAGTCCCAAAATGGCCCTTTGCCCATTGAGTTGTCTGGACGCTTTTTTCTCGCTTGGCTCGCAGATTTAGCCCGGATCCTTTGGGCAATTCAACCGGGATCCCCTGGTTTTCGAGGCGGAATCAAAGAATGGAAGGCCTTGAAAACCCTCAAGCCCCGCCTCGAGGATGTGGACATTTGTCTCAAACTCGGGGACCCCAACAGCCGAAAATCTAGCAAAAGGCGCAAGGTCAAACCCAGCAGTTTGTACCCCTCCAGATATACTTCCGTTTGAGCTCCCTTGAAACGAAGACTCGAAAGTCCCGCAATCTCTAACCGGTATCCTTTTAGTTCGAAATGACCCTTTGGTGGATATCGTTCTCAAGTCAATGTGGATTGGTGCCACTGAAAGAGAATCGCATCCTTTCAGGAGAAATCCATGCCCTTCTGGGGGGAAATCCATGGACAGGGGTCTGAAAAACACCCCCTTCACAAATCGATCTGTGTTGTGGGTTCATTGGAAGCGCCATTCTGTGCTGACAAAAAGCTGAGTGAAGTACAAGGACATCGGAAACTTTCAGTTTTGTCCCACGCTGTCCCTCAGGAAGCTTCTCACTAAAGTGTTCCAACAATCCATGTGTCTTTTCCCTTTCAGTCTTCGCTTTTGGTTGTTTCTTCAAGGGTCCCCCAAGTTTCGCTTTTCTCCGAGCCCCCATCCCGCGATGGCCACTTATATTCTATGTTGAAACTTGCAACCACTTTCTTTCAGATCGGTTCTCTCTTTTTACCCTCCCACCAATTAACATGGAACCGGGACGCCCCGAAGGCCAGGCTCCCAGTGAAACAAGGGTGGCGTCCCTTGTGTTTGAGCGTTTTCTTTTATTATTATTATTATTATTATTATTATTATTATTATTATTATTATTATTATTATTATTATTATTATTATTATTATTATTATTATTATTATTATTATTAGTATTATTATTATTACTATTATTATTATTATTATTATTATTATTATTATTATTATTATTATTATTATTATTATTATTATTATTATTATTATTATTATTATTATTATTATTATTATTATTATTATTATTACTAATAAACTTGAGAGCCCAAAAAAACACAAGCAAAGCCGGAGAAAGAAAAGAACTGGCTTCTCAAAAAAAGTGGACCCCCCCTTTTGGTCGCTGAAACCTCCTCGGCCCCCCCCCAAAAAAAAAAAGGAGGACCGCCACCGCCGGACGCGTGCCAACGCGGGTCCCATGGCGGCGGTTGGGAAGGCTTCGGCCGCGGCGCGCTTGGCGGTGGCCAAGGGCTTGAACTTCCCCTCCTCCACGGACAGCTCCACCTGCACCAGTTTCGGTTCGAGGGAACCTCACAGAAATTCCGAGGAAAGGGAAACCTAAGGAGAAACCTCGGGGAAACCAAGGGGAAACCAAGGCGACACCAAGCGGACACCAAGGGGGCCCCTGGATGTTGTTGTTCATGCAACTCCAGATCTGTGCTTTTTTCTAACAATTTTGCTATTTTGCTCTTGGCGCGCCAAGAGGCACATCACGCCCAGCCGGACACGCCGCTTCGCACCCGAGCGCCTCAATGCACAGGATGTCCGGGCGAGCTCGTGCCTCCATGCCCTGCCGACGTGCGATCTGCGATGTGCATCCGGCCAGTCTGCGCAATGAAAACAGCAGCTGATGGTTGCTTGGTTGGTTGCTTGGTTGCTTGGTTGGTTGGTTGCTTGGTTGGTTGGTTGGTTGGTTGGTTGGTTGCTTGGTTGGTTGGTTGGTTGGTTGCTTGGTTGGTTGCTTGGTTGGTTGCTTGGTTGGTTGGTTGGTTGGTTGGTTGGTTGGTTGGTTGGTGAGTTGGTGAACGGCTCATCAATTTAGCTGGTTACTTGTTGGTTGTTTTTTTTCCCCGATTAATATGTTGAATGGTTAATTGGAATATTGGTTCATCAACTGGATGATTGGCAAAGTGGTTATGTGGTGAGTGGTGGTGGATTGATGGATTGGTGAATTATTGCGCCAGTGGATTGGTGGGTTGGCCGGTTGGTTGCTTGGCGTTTAGGAAGGGTGCTGGGGTTGTACACGCCTGGTAGAGCGCAACTGGGGGTGAACACAAAAGGCCGTGTTGAGAAACTGTGAAATCACCCCCGTCAAGGAACCTTTGTCACCTCCCTGACTTGCATGCACCAGTACAGAATTTCAGTCATATTCAAAACCTGGTAGTCAAATGGTCAGCCCATGAACCATGTCAAGAATTGAAAAGCCGGATATCCGCACCCGTGGCTGGGATTGGCGGATCCTGCCCTCCGATTGCCCGGGCTTTGAGCAGGTGACTTACTTGAGCTTCCTGGTTCATCAACGGCCATCAGAGGCTCCGTTTCAAGCGGGCATTTCAGAAAGCCGTCACTATGCTGGGTCCCCGAGGTCTAAGAGGCCGACCGCCTTATGTAGATAAACACGGAAAAGGCGGGTTGTTCTTTCATCCATTTTGCCAAGGTTTGCCACATAGCTGTTCCTCAAACCGAGGGACTCTCCAGATTGTCTAGCTGGGCCCAAACTGGTGGACATCATTTCCCGATTCATGTCCACCTACTCGAACTCAACTCGCAAATATCAGAACTCTTTGAGAAACTCCCAAGACTTCTTTTAAGGAATCGGAGATTTACCAAAAACGGAAGGTGCCGCGCGTCAAAAGAGAAACAGAGCCACATCCAACCGCCCGCCCGCCCGCACCCTCAACACACCGAGTCCAGCGCGCACCTCGCGGCCTTCGGCCTCGTAGACCAAGTGGAACCGCCCGGCCACCCTGCGACGGGTCCAGATTCGGGTTCTTTGTGGTTTCAAGGACAACCCGGTTGGTGACAACCAACTGGTTGGTTGGATTCAGTTTTTGGATTGGTTTGGTTCAAGATTCGGATTGGATGTTTAGCTTCAAGGACATTGCCTTGATTCAAGGTTGCAACCGGATCGGCCAAGGGAAGTGCAGGTGGATTTGATTCAAGGACCTTGGCGACAAGCAGACTCACAATCAACACCTGGGCGAAGAATTCGTCAAGGCGGCCGCACTTATGCATGGCTGTGACGGCCCAACCTTCTTACCAGGGTTCTGATGAAAAACTGCACACCGATGGCTTTGTTCGCGCACGGGCGCCCTCGAAAAAAGCGGCGGCTTGTCAGCTGCAAGCACCAAGGAGATGGGCAAATGAGCAGAAGTTTCAAAAAAATCGGTGGAATTGGGGTGGAATTGGGGGGTGGAGTTGGAGGGAGCTGGGGTGGGAGTGTTGGGGAGTGGAGGTGGGGTGAGGGAGTTGAGGGAGTGGAAGTGTTGCGGTGGGTGTTGGGGTGAGTGAGCTTGGGTGCTTCCAGAAACTTTTGAAGCTGATGTTCGCTAAGTTTCGAAGTCGAAAGCATTCATTTTGGGGTGAGCAAGACACTTCCACGACTTTCTCGGACATCAGATTGTTTATTTTTCCCGCCCATTCCGTAAAATGGGGTCCCAAAAGGGATCCGACGAGGTGGCCAACCTATCGGAAAGCGAAGCATTTGGCCCGCCTGTGATCCCCGAGGCTGAACTGCAACACCTCAGCTCTGAACGAAGCCGCGCAGTGACCGCCCAACTTTTGCCCCCATAATGGGAGGCTCCTCTTTTGTTGAGGATACCCTTGTTCCCTTGGTTTGAAGGGAAACCAAAAGAAAAACACAAAACACCGCTTTGGGGAGGTCCCCACATGTTCAAACAGCTTGAAATCGGCTCCGGAAAACACCAGGTGATGTGTTTTCCCGAAAGCCGAGGCGCTCGGACGATGTTCATGCGCATCATCTCCCGCACCCCTGGGATTTGCCGCTCCCCTCCAAAAGGGGTAGTTTGGATTGGTGCTTTGGAGGTTAGGGGGTGGTTTTTCCATGCACCCTCCACAATTACCAGGGGTTGACATCCGCAAATCACCCATCCGAATCCCCCTGACAAAAGGAGGCCCTCAACGCTCGCTGGTTCTTCCCAAAAACACCGTGGCGGCCTCGGAAGATGCCCCAGGACTTTGGGAAACACTCAAAAAAGACCCACAAAACTGGCCGTGCATCCGGCCCAGGGCTCCAAACAGGAAAAACTTTGCCAGGTTCTCCAAAAAAATGTCATCTCTGTTGGAAAAACCTTGCACGAACAATCTGCAAAACTAGCGCCCGAAAGCCCGCCAACCTGGCAAACTGGCAAACTGGGCCCACTAAAGACATGGAAAACGCGTGGAAAACGCCCACTGAAACCTACAACTCTCCATCTCTCTCTCTTGCCTGGCGCAGAGGCTGGCGCTGCGCCTATCCGTTGCCATTTTCGGATGTCTCAAAGTGGGAAGGTGTCTCCATGTTGGATGGCATCCGCTTTGGGATATTTTCGATAAATCAAACGTGTTTTTTCTTCTGGGGTGTTCTTTTGGGATGTTGACCTTCCAGCAGCCTGCCAACCTGCCAACCAGCCAACCAGCCAGCCGACTGACGAGCAGCCTCCAAACCAGCTTCAGCCAACGCCAGAGTGAGTTCTGGTGTGCCCTCAGCACAGTCTCATGCCCTGGTCAATTTCTAACCAAAATAAATTAAAAAGGACACCTATGTCTAGCACCCTTGTTTTTACGTCTGTCCGAATCGCAGCTTCATAGCGGAGGCAACTCTCGCAAATGCTTGCTCCATTTAAGGTACGCCTCCCAGCCTTCATTTGCAGCACTCACTTGCACATGTCCGCAAGTGGATTCAACTTTGCATTGAACGCATCGTGTCAGAGCGAGCGAGCAACCAAACAAGCAAGCAACCAAGCCAGCAAGAAGCCAATAAGAAAGCAACCAAACAAGCAAACCAGCAAGCAAGCAAGCAACCAACCAACCCACCAACCAACCAACCAACCAACCAACCAACCAACCAACCAACCAAGCAACAACCAAGCAACCAAGCAACCAAGCAACCAAGCAACCAAGCAACCAACCAACCAACCAACCAACCAACCAACCAACCAACCAACCAACCAACCAACCAACCAAGCAACCAAGCAACCAAGCAACCAAGCAACCAAGCAACCAAGCAACCAAGCAACCAAGCAACCAAGCAACCAAGCAACCAAGCAACCAAGCAACCAAGCAACCAAGCAACCAAGCAACCAAGCAACCAAGCAACCAAGCAAGCACGCCACCAAGCAACCAAGCAAGCCACCAAGCTACCAAAGCAAGCAAGCCACCAAGCTACCAAAGCAACCAAGCACCCAAGCAACCAATCAACCAAGCAACCAAGCAAGCAAGAAAGCACCCAATCAACCAATCAACCAAGCAACCAAGCAAGCAAGCAAGAAAGCAACCAAGCAAGCAAGCAAGCAGCACGCATGAACGTGCACTTGCGTCCCACCCGTCGAGCCCCAAACAAGGTGACATCTCAGAAAAGGTCCCACCCAAGGGGACTTCGCTTGAAACATAATGCTCTCTCAACGCCATATTTAATAGGATAGCAAAAAGTCACATACGCATGGAGGACGTCACCAAAGATACCAAAGGCTCCTTCACTTGACCCACTCCTGTGCCTGCGCCACCACCAGCAGGCCCCTGCACCGGTCCGCAGTTTTTCGAAGCTCCGAAGACTTATCAAGCGAAATGTCCAACATGGACTCCAACCCTTGGTCACATGTTGAAAGAATGGTTGTCCTCACAAGCTAACTCGATTTAGGGGTTGAGGGTTTGGGTCTGGGTTGTTGCGGTTTCGGCTTTGGGTTCAGGGTTTAGGTTTGTTTACGGCAAACGCAAACAAACAAGGTCGGCCGCAAGCGCGTAAACCGCCCTCCATGCAGAGGGTTCGCTTTCCATTCCTGAGTTCGCAAGTGGGGGAACCGGCACCGTCGGATCTTAGCTCTCGACAGCCCCACATCACTGGCCCTGCACTTCCGACTAAACCGTCCCAAGGGGTGTTGGGGCAGATCGCATCCGGCCGCAAAGCTATGGAAGCCGCCAAAGTAAGCGGCTTCCAGCCGAGAAGCGAAGAAAGGATCGGGACCTGCTGCTTGAATGCTAAGCCTAGATCTCTTTTCGGGGGGCAAGGCCTGGAGCGCAAGAGACAACTGGCTGCAGCCCTTTTGAGATGTCTGGTTGGCAAGTTGGCAACTTCTCAGCCGTTGACACAAAGGGGTCTCTTGTTTGAGGGCAGCATTTGCGGGCGTTGAAGACCAGCCCAACAATTTGAAGAAACAAATAGGGAAAGCACTCACTCTGAGGCAGACGAAGCATTTCCACGGGTTTTCCCTCGCTCAATGCCTGTCATTTACGTCACAGGTTTGAGGCCCGAAACCTGCTTTGCCAAACTCAAAAGGTGAGTCGGAGGTCAAACCGGGTCGCTGAAGCCCGGTTTGAGTAGAAAAAACTGGGCGTCACTGAACCAGGGACACCCACAAAAACCATGATCATTTCGTCGGCTTGCGGGTTTCAACCTCGAGATCCCGCCTGCATGACCTGGTGGATCAGCTGATTCACCACTCCCGCGACCTGGGCCCCGTGCCCCAAAAATGGAAGTGACTCTGTCTTGGTTTCCCCTTGAAACCACCCCAACACCACTTGTCTTGACCTCCTGGGTACGCTTTACTGGCTCCGTGGGGTGAAGAGAACTGCTCCAAGTTGACTTTGATCAAAAAAGTGCCGAAATCATAGATAGCCAAGTTGCGAATGATCATTTTTCCAGACACCCTCAGCCCTAGAGACAGTCACAAATGGGCAAAAGCGATTCGCTGGTGATCCAGGTTTGCCTTCATCTCCCCCCACCCCAAGCTTGCTGCTTTGCCTGTTTCCCTTCGAACCCACAAAGGGGGCGGGCTGCCCAGTTTCAAAGCCTACATTTGCTTCAGCCCCCTGGAAAAAAATACAAACATGTCCGCCAGTAACAGATTCCCATTAAAACCAAAAGATAAAACTAAAAAGACTCTTCTTCTCAAGCCCAAACTTCCTGGTTTTGGCCTGTGGTTTCCCTCTGCCCAAAAAGAGTCTCCAGTTCACTCCCCCCCCCCGCAACCCCGCCGCCTGCTGCGCCGTGGAGGCGATCGCCGTGGCCGCCACCGCCGGGGGCGCGGGCCCCGGCGCCGCGGCGCCCGCGGCGCCCGCGGCGGCAGACCCATCGGCGCCCCGTTCAGCGGCAGCACGGCCGCGCCCAGCAGCGGGCCCGGCAGGGTGCCTCGGGCCGAGCCCGTCCGTCCCCTTTGGAAGCCGACGTCGCTTCGGTCGCTCCCCCCCCCCCCCCCCGCGCCCCGTGGCCCGCGCCTGGCATGTTCACCGTGGGCAGCGGCCCCGCGGGGATGGTGGCGTTGGCCGCCGCCGGGCCGACGGCCGGGAAGGCCGCCGTCACGTTGCCCAGCAGCGGCATGGTCACCGGGCCCTCCAAAGACGGTCGAGGGGCGGGTAAGGCAGTCGAAAGGGTGGGGGAAGGGGGGGGGGGGGGGGGAAGGATTTTTCAGTTGGGGGGAGTGGGGGGAGGGGGTTGGATGAACTTGGCAGGTTGAACCCCAGCTCCTTTTGAAGCCAAATGGGGGACCAAACCAAACCATAGGGGTAAGGTCGACGAAATCATGGCAGAGCTTGGTTTGCCGCCAGGCGAGCTCATTAAAACATGCGCGCACCCTTTGCGTCAAGAAACGCCTTTGAGCAAACAAGCAGCTACGTGACTTTGAAGGTTGCATTCTAGCCGGCAAGTTAGGCCTTGTGATCTGGGCCCTGAAAATCCGCCAAACGAACCAATCCCATGCAGGAATGCAATTAAAGAACACCCGCAAACGTTGGTCACGACAACATGATGAAGGAAAACTGACCAGACGCACAGATCTTGCAAAAATCATGCTCCAGAGCCAATCAGTAAAGCCAAAGGATACTTGAGGGAAGCGCGCTCATCTGTTCATTGAGGGTCCGCACGCTCCAAGTCGCCCCACGCCTGAAACGGCGCCGCGGCCGTCGCCGGCGGCGGCGGCGGAGGCCCGTGGGGCGGCGGGGGGAGGACCTCCGCTTCACGTGACCGTCGGTCGGTTGGGGGAGGCGTTTTCGTTGCGCGGTCTGGGTGTTCTTTACGCTTTTAGCTGGTTTCGTGCAACGAGGGCATACACTACCACTAAACGAACTAAAGTAACTAGGGCTTCTAGTGGTCTTACAGGGAAGTGACCAGGAAGCTCCGATCTCTCTAACCACATCATACCCCAACTCTTTGTCTTGGAAACAGAGGTTGGGTGATGATGTGGGAGAGATTCTCAGATGGCTCCCTTCCTCTTCTCTGTCTCTGGGCGTTTTAGGCGTTCAGTTGGTTTAGTGGTCGTGTCCATGCACTACAAGTAAAACTCTTGGCATGAGGGCAGCCACAATTTTCTGGGCTTTTCCAAGGTCCGCAGGCTTCTTAATCCTTCGGTTTGCGCAAGGAGCCGGTTTTCCTTGCTGGTGCTCAGCAGGGAATCAAGGGATGGTTCGGGGTCGTTCCCTGCTTCCCTGCCGAGCACCAGCAAGTTGTTCAAAGGAAAAATCAGCATTTTGAGAAGCCCCCCCTCCTTTTTTGTTGAGGTGGGAGGGTAATGGGAAGTCGTGACGGAAAAACCGAGCCAGTCACTTTTCAGGGGGTCCTTCCTTTTCAAGTGGGAATCTGAGTCTCTGATCCGATGCCGATACCACTGACGTTGCTGCAAAAAACACAACTACCTCTCGTGGAATTAAAATCCCCACGGATTGCATTCACATCTCTTTGGTTTGAATCAAAAACCCCACAAAGATCCGTACCTTCGAGACACACCACTCTCCGAGCTGCCGAGACCGCCGGCATGGTGAAGGACTGAGTCTCCTCAAGCAGGAGAGCTGAACCGGGTTTTAAGAGAGTCTGGAAGTCTAGAAGACATATCCGTCCCCTTTTTGTTTTTTTTGCAAAGTCAAATATGTTGGGCTACTAGGTGTGGGTAAAGTAAAATGTCAATTGCAGAGGGAGCTGTGCGCATGAGAGCCCCAGCAAAAAAGTTGGCGCTGCTCTTTGTAGGCGCATGGTTCTTCCAACTTCCCCATACGTGCACGCCTGCGCCGAGCCTTTGTTCAACGAAAACTGATCTTTCATTCAGCGAACCCGCTCGTCAGCCCCAACTCAAGGGGCTGACTCTCGCGCAGCCTCATTTTCCCTGCTTATAACGCCCTCCCACACCCTGATCCCCAGCCCCCCCCCCAAACCCCCGCCCTCGGTCCCCCCCTCCTTCCCCCCACCTTGAAAAACAGTCCCCGCCCCCCCGCCCCCCCCGCCCAGTCGCTTCCGGCCCATTTCTCCGCCTAGGCTCCACCTGGCACAGCTCCAGCTCAGCGACGCCGGGCGCCAGCTCCTGCGCCAAGCGCCGCCAGCAGTTGGTCCGCAGCTCCATCTCCAGGCGGTTCCGCAGCTGGCACCAGAGCTCGCAGAAGTCCTCAAGACCCCGACTCCCAGTCTCCGACTCCAAGACCGAAGCGCGGAATCGACTCCATGGGTGGCCTTGTGGAAAACATTTGATGGGCCCGGTAAATGGAATATGATATACCAAATCTAAACCAGGGCCCTCTATTTGTTCAGCAAACCAACCAAAAACTTGTTTGTTTGCTTGCTTGTTTGTTTGCTTGTTTGCTTCCTTCCTTCCTTCCTTCCTTCCTTCCTTGCTTGCTTGCTTGCTTGCTTGTTTGCTTGTTTGTTTGGTTGTTTGGTTGTTTGTTTGTTTGCTTGCTTGCTTGTTTGTTTGTTTGTTTGTTCGTTCGTTCGTTTGGTTGGTTGTTTGTTCGTTCGTTCGTTCGTTTGTTTGTTTGTTTGCTTGTTTTTGGGGAGGGGGGATTTTTATCGGGGATGCCCCCCGTTTTGCCGAGACCCAAATGCGGTTTGAAGGAATCCAGGAAGGGGAACCAAGAGGGAGTGACAACATCCCATTCCGATCTGCTAGAGAGGGCCAGACATATTTCCATCACAAGGACTCTGGGCCCAGCACTTGTTCTGGCAGTTGCGCCACGCGCATAGCACAAGGAGCCCAAGACTTCAGCCCAAGCCCTTCCTCGCACATTCCTGGACTGTCGGGCCAAACGAGCTCAGTCGGCTTTCAACATGTTCCTCCCACAGCTGGCCGATTCCAATGGGCCCGTGTTTCCCGAACAGAGACAGATCAGGATATTGACGGAACACCCGATGGCATAGGCACTCAAAGGCGACGTAAGGGACAAGGCGGCAAACAAAAAGCAGACATGTAAAAGCATCGCGCCAAGAAATGTCCCTTCCAAGGAACCCCAACGCCCAACCCACCCCAACGCAAACGAGGATGCACAACTTGGTCAACGCTCAACTCTGAGCCTAGGATGTAAATCAGTTCTACCATCATTGGAAAGGGCAAAGATGAAAGTTCTTACCAACAGTTGACCCATAAGAGTTGGGTATGAGCCTTTTGTCGGGGAGCCTTTGGTGGGCATTTATACTGGATTTTATGTCCGCCAAACAAAGTGACTTCAAGAAGCCCCGAAACTGTTCACCCGAGGCTGTTCTACATGGGTGGGGGCATCACCACTACAATAAAACCAGTGCCATCTGCCCAATGGCGCGGTGTAGGCCCACAAAAGGCAATTCGAACCAAATCCCCACCCCAAAAAACGGAAGCCTCGAACTCTACTTTTAACCCCCCGAAAGAAAACAAATCCACCAGCCCCCCTTTTTTGCCACCGTGTTCCGCGGTCACCCCCAAATCCCACCTACACCAAACCCACTCCCTCCATCCGCTTCCCTCGGCTCCGCGGCGCTCCGCGCGGAGCCGGTCCTTGACGGAGGTCTCCATCTGCGGCAGCAGCGCCTCGATCTCCCAGAGCTCCAAGCGGCTCGCGCGCTGCCGCAGCACGCTCTGCGTGCCCCGCAGCCTGGCGCCAGGGCGCCAGCAGGCGTCCGGCGTCCGGGGGCCAAAGGAGAAGGAGTGAGGCGGGTGAGGGGAGGGGTGAGGTTTCACGCAGGGAATGGGCAGTTGATCTGGGGAAAGTTGTCCAGGGTCTTAAAAGCACAAGCATGGCTAGGGATGAGCCTCCGACTTTTACAAGAGGCGTCAGCCTTCTGGTCACCCAAAGCCTTTCACTTCAAACCTCGGAGAATATCAAGCATCCCTGGACTCGAATATCCCTGAAAACCCAAATCAAATCCAAGATCCAACATCGAAGCTCGACTCGCTCGCTCGCTCGAAGCTCCTGGACACGATGCCGCCCAGCAGGGAGTCCTTGACGCGCCAGAACCATCCACGGGACGCCGCGGCAAGGGCCCGGCCCCCGCAGAGGTCTGGCAGGGCACCTTCGCTCGAGTCGGTCGAGGCACCCCACCCGACCCCACCCGGCCCCCGGCCCCCGCTTCCCCCTTTGGGTTGGTCCTTGGTTTGGTTGGATTCCTGGTTGGATTGGTTTGGAGGAGGGTAGAAGGGAAACCCTTCCACTTCGGAGAAAAAAAGAAACAACCGCTGAAGGTGTCCATCCGCTTCCCTCGTTTGGATTCGGTTTGGATTGGTGGTTCGGAGGGAAGAAGGACGGCTTCCCATTCACAGTTGGGAGGAAAAATAGCTGGCGATCCAGGTTGGTCAAAAAATGCGGTGGATGGACGAACTCCACCTCACACCGGAGATGAAAGAAACCCATGAATACTGGGATAAACAGCCAACCAACTGGTGTCAGACTCTGTCCTCCACAAATAGGGAAGCTCAAACGTAGATTGGCTCAGCATGGTTGACCCAACTCAAATTTAAATGGACATGAGGCTTGGTTGGGGGTCTTACATGAGTCCTGTCCAACAACCATTTTGGAGGTCTTCAGCATCAGCATTCAGCTCTATGGATCCAAGATTTGGCTCAGAGCCCAAAAAGGCACTTCAAAAACAGTCCCCCCGAACTTTGCAACGTTGAGGGGGTCCATTTCATTTGATGTCCCTTGGCAACCCCGAAAAGGGTGTTTGTTTCCTTTTGTTCACGCAGCTGTCCAACTTGCGACGTCGAAAGGGACCAAAGCACCCGCCCTGACGGGCAAAGGCTTCACAAGGTGAACTTCTGCCCTCGAGCGCAAATGTGGCCGCCAGCAAGCCGCCCAAAGACTTCTTGAAACTTGCTCGCAAACAAGGACCCTTCTCCAAAAAGCGGCTCCAGAGATTCCCGCAGACTTCCTTGCCCCCAAAAGTCGCAAGTCCCTTTCAAGCTCCGGAGCCCCGAAAAAAAACACGGGGGTCAAACCACCCAAAGAAAAAAACGGAACCCGCACCCGAAACAACGTGGCTGTTTGGCTCGAGAGAAACCCCGCGAATTTTCGCCTGCGCGCTTGGCTCCCCCGCGGATCGCCCGCAGGCCTTCGAGGCTGGCGAGGTCTGGGCCTGCAAGGCTCAAGTGTCGGCAGTGCTTTTGTGTTTTGCTTGTTGTTCTTGTGTTTTCTTTTTTCTGAGGAGGGGTTTGATTGCTTGTTTGTTTGTGTTTGCTTGCTGTTTGCTTGTTTGGTGTTGTTTCTTTCCTTTGTTTCCTTTGTTTTTGTTGTTGGGGGGGGAGGGAGGAGATTGCCGTTTTCGTGGGCGGTTGCAAGGGAAACGGGTCCGATTCCTCTAAGACACACTTTTGCGCCATTGGACATCAGAAGTCGGTGGGGGTTCATGTCCACCAACCGCCTTAGTGTCCTTTTTGGAGACCCATTGTGAACCATTTTTGGAGGCTCCCGCATTTTGAGACAAACCCGCTTGACATCCAAACATCTCCCGCCTCCCCCTCCCCGAGATTCTGTTTTTTTTTTGTTTTTTTTTTAAGAGCTCATCGGCAAAGGGAACCCGCTGGAGCACCGGGGGAAAGCAACGGGGGGAAAGCCGGGCAGGTCCTTCGTCGAAAGCCGGGCCTAAGCTTTCCTCCTCGCTCAGCCTGAGCTTTTCGGCGCGAAAGCGCGAAAGCTGGGCGCGAGAAGCTCTGGCCCAACGGCCTTCTGGGAGTTTGGAGCTCGAAGGACCGACTCTCCACACGCAAAACGAGCAATCAATTCCCAGCCTCAGACCAGGATGTGGCAGACACAGAAGCCAGGAATTCGCCCGGAAGTCCGACAAAAGGGTTGGCACTCACCGCGACACACTCCCAACTCCCCCTCTCCGGCCACATCCCATACCGAACTTTCTCACGACTTTCGCCTCTTGGGCCCACTGGCTTCCCCAAGAAGCCGATCAACTCAACCGGGTTCCCGTGAAACCGCGCTTTGGGGGTCCTAATGGATCAGGACCATCAGCCAAAGGAGCCTTCGCCCGGTCCGAATCACATTCAAGCCACCAACCCTACCCCCCCTTCTCAACTAAAAAAAAGTAGACACGGATGGGCAATCATTTGTTTGCAACCCTCGTTTGCAAACAAAGCCTGTTTTGGTTTTCCCCTTTTTGGCGGCAAAACCGGCCTCGTGCCCACAAAGGCCCCCCTTTTCCCCCACCCCCCCACTCCCGACTTCAGGACCTGCCTGGGGCGGGAGCTGGAGGCCGGGGCCTCCACCTGGCGGACCGCCCGCCGCCCATGGCTTCCAACCAAAAGGACGCCCAAAACCGGGGGCCCCCCAATTTTGAGACAAACCCATTTAGGTGGGGATTAAGTAACCGACAAACCCCATTTAGGTGTGGATTGAGTTACAAACCCCACCTAAGGGGATTCACCTCTCCCCCCCCCCCGTAAAAAAACTCCGCCCCTAATGGGGAACGCCCATCCTCACCCATCCTTCCTGGCCTCCGCTTTCCGCTTCTCGCCCATGGCCCACTTTGGGGCGATGCGATTCGAATTGCGCTTCGCAAAAATCTGATCTCGGCGGATTGGCAAAGGCAGGGCTGCTGAATGGGACTTGATCAAAGATGACGGCTCACCTCTCAAGCGCGAGTTCTAAGCTCTAGCGACTTGGGTCAGCAAAGACAAAACGCGCATGGAGCAAACTGCGCGAGTTCAGCTGGCAACCAACTCAAACTCCACGCACGTGGTGCAGTTGCAAAGGTATTCGATCCTCCTTGGGCCGGAAATGCCGAAGCGGGAACCTGCGCTACAAAAGTAATGTGCATCCAAATCCAGATCGCTCCTCTCATCATATCATTCCCATGAGTGTAAGTGCCCTTCCCCCCACAAAACTGAAAGTTGACAGGAGGGCTCTGGAAGACTACGGGAATTTCAATTGCCAGCCAGTTCCAGTTTCATTGGCGTTAAGGGTGTCAGCCCTAGTCCAGGACTGATGTGTGTTGCTTAGATTGTCGTTTGCTGGGTGTCCTAAAAGGAGCCATTTCCATCCACCGACGAACACCCAGCCAACAAAAGATAAGGCCCCCAAAATGGATTGTTGGGGCCGATCCCTCTTTTCCTCCCCACTCAAAGGGTGCCAATGGACTTGCAATTCCCACCGTGTGGAAGTCCACCACTCAGAAATTGCAGCTGATGCCGTGTGGAAGTCCCCTTCTCCAAAATGGCGACCCAACCTGAGTGTCTCTCAAAAAGAAAAAAAGACGAGACACCCGAAACATGGAGGCTTTACGTCGTTCCTTGTGGTTTCCCTTTACCAACCCAACGCTTCCCCGACCAAAAGCCATACCCAGCGACCCGGACGCCGCCGCACGAGCGCCTGCCGTGACGCTGGCGGCGGCCAGCAACGGCGACGACCTGAAGGTGAGGGGACAAGTGGAACCAACAAAAGTTAAACCCAGAAACGACAAATAAGCAGAAACAACTGCAAGACATGAAGTAAAACTTCCAGCAGGAAACTAGCCAAGTTCCCACCAAAATCAGGGGTTTCCTGTAGAAATTCCTGTGGTTCTTAGAATACCAACAAATGAAATAGAACTAGCAAAAGTTGAACCAAGCAAAGGAAAGAAACGGAAGAGGAGAAGATGGAGAAGAATGAAACCCCGAGAAAACCCCAAAGTTAGGGGACTCCCGCAACTTTACATCCGATGTAGAAGTGTGAGCCAGACCTGCCTTATGTCCAGGAACCCCATGGCACCCAATGCCAACCGGAAAAGCCCCGGTCCCTGAGGCCGGAAAAAGGCCCCCGCGAACCCCATGCTCCGCGCCTCTCCTTGTCGCGCGATCGCTCTTTGACCATGGCTCAAAAGCTCAATCAGGCTCGTGGATGGGTCCCCCTCAGGCAAAAAGGGGGGCAGACCAATTTCCGAACTAAATAGATGGTTGTATTTTCGGGTGTAGCATCCAATGTAGTCATGATTATGGGAGCAAACTATTATCAACTATGAGTAATTCTTTGGCCCCGTATATTACCCTGGTCGGGTCAGGGTGTTTCGAGGTTCGGCGCAATGGTGGTCCTGTAGGGATGAAGGTGGAACTTTCGTTCTTCAGGCACAAGCCTCGTAAGAAGCGCTGGGGTAGGGCGGATGTGATCAAATTGCATCTACCCAGACAAAACTGGGGGGTAAGCATGCGTGGCTGTTGTGTATACCTGGCAGAGTCACAAGCTGCGAGCCTCGACGGTTCAACTCAATCCTCCAATCGCCAGAAATACTCTGAGCCTTAGCTGCTTGTTCAGCCTGGCATGGGCGGTACACGAGGCACTTGCTTCTCCGGCACTCTGTTTTGAACTTTCACAGCTCTCGCAAGCAGCCGGCCAATGGGACAAGCCTTGCTCACCGATGCCCAAGAGCACGGCCGCCGAAACACCGAAGGCCGTTGCTCTCCGTGCGCCATTCTCGCTCCTGGCGGTCCTGGGGCGCGGGGAATCTGCGCGGATTCCTCAGTATCAGACCTTCCGAGTTCCGTTGGAATCGCACCATCTCCAAGGCGAAGGCGTCAGGCGCGCATCAGCCGTCCAGCCAGCTCTGCAGCGCCTATGCCGGCCGGAAGCAAACTATGGCCCCCTGTTTTGGACCCAGGGCACAAGGGCAGGCCTAGAGACAACCCAATGGGGTCCGGAAACTCGAAACCTCGAAACTGGGCTGTTTCCTGGTGGCCCTCCGCTCGTTCGCAGTTAAACCTGCTGATCCTCGCCTCCGGGGACGCGAGGGCCACATCGCTGGTCTGCATCTCCAGTGCGTCCTCGAAGTCCGCGCTGTGATAGTCACCTGACGCGCGGGCCGGGCCGGCCCGCGCGGGGCCCGGCCGCACCCCCGAAGTCTGCTCAAACTGTGGGCTCGGTGGCTTGGATGCGTTGCACTGATGGTTTGGGTTTGTGGCTTGGAGGCTAGGGCTTGCTTGCCCAAGCCTTTCCAAATGACTGAAGCCTTCCTGAAGCCTTCTGTCCGCTTGCATGACTCTTTGAAAGAGGGCTAGCAAACTGCAAATGGCATCACTGCAAACATAGGGAACGTGTTCCCGAATCTTTCAGAATCCTGACTGCAAGCGTTTGCCGAGACTTGCAGATACCTCACATCCATGCTCCTGTGATCCACCCACTTCACACGTCAGGATTGGGGCCAATCCAATACCCCAGGCTCGGACCAACCTCTCAAACAGCTTCTATTCGATTTTGTCCTTCAAAGGAGACTGAGGTGGTTTGCGTGGGAAATGAACGCCACGTCTCGATGCGACATCCTTGCCTTCCGCGCACATTTCCAGCATCTTGGCGCGATCCTGGGATGGCACGAGCGCGTTGCGGTCTATGGAAAACCTTTTTTTTGGATGCCTTCAAGGGACCAAAAGCAACCCCAGCACTGGGAAAAGGCGATTCCCTTCGAGATTTCACAGCGATTCGAAAGGGAATCTTAGAACATGTGGCAAGCATGGTCGGCGGATTTTGCGGCGTTCCTTCAACGCCCTCGGCTCACATCGAAATCAACTTTGCCCGAATCATTTTCAGGGAATTTTCAGAACATGTAGCAACCAAAGCATGACCCCATCATGGCCGGCGGATTTTGTGGCGGTCGTTCAACTCCCTCGGCTCACATCAAAATCCATGTTGCCCGAATCAAATTTTCGCCGATCAACGGTCATGCTTCCGACAAACGCTCCATCTGTCTCATGTTCACTGAGCCACTAGCTGGACTCTCAAACTGCTCTGAAGACTGGACGTTTCCCCAAAACATGTCGGATCAGGGTCCCACGACTTTTTGACCACGTACCCAGGCGGGTTGATGTCCCCCAAAATCGGACGGGGTTTGGAGCGTTCAAAAAGTGGAACCCTGTGAATAAAAACCTCCTTTCTTTATGGCAGCAATTCCTCACATCCCGCTAGAGAACTTCCAAGCTGCCGATTCGGGGCCATAGGCGAGCACCGCGTTCTGCCAGGCCTTGGTAGCCGATCCCCTTGCTCTCCCCCTGAATTGTTTGGACATGGCTACGTCTTAGGGAACCCCCGAAATGCTGAAGCACCCCCAAAAAACAGAGGACAGATTGACCTAGCTGTGTGTTATCAAGCCTAGGCCACCTAAGGGAATACCTAGGCAAGCAGCAAACCGTTGACTACCTTTTCACACTGCTGTCAGTGATCTTGAAGTCTGTAGCGGCGGAGCATGTACAAGTACACTCATGCACAGGGTTGGAACCTGAATCCACACCCCCCTCATTTGAGATTGAGCAACAACGAAAATGTCGGCAGGTTTTGCAACCCGCTTTGATTCCATTTGCACATCCATTGCACGTTGAAAATGGACATTACACATCCGTCGTGCATGCAAATTGCTACTCACACTCAGAAGGGCTCCGTTGTTTCACCACCTTCCGCTAGTAGACCAGCCGCGCGAACTCCAGGTCGACCACTGCCAACTGCTCCAGTCCTGACTGCTCCAGTCATGACTGCTCCAATCCCTCCAGCTTCGGCTTCTGGCAGCGGAGCTGGAGGCGGGCTGAGCAGGTTGCACAGGTCCGCGGGCGCGGTCCTCGGCGCTTTGCCTCTGGCTGCGCCATGCGAGCTTCTTCGCGTCGTCCTCCGCCCAGCTGCAAATCTCCTTGACTTCAGCTTCGAGGTCCTCGGCTCCGGTTGCCCGGAGCGTAGGGAACTTTCCGCCAAAGGTGACAAGGTTGCGCATCCCCGGGAGGATGTTGACCTGGGCCGTTATACGAGAATAGCCCATGGAAACGAATGCAAGCTGGCGTCATAGTCCCCGACCTGGCCGCCGGTGACGTAGACAGTCCTCGCGTAATGGAGACCTCGTTTTCCATAGCCTGGCCCAACCCCGAGAAGTCGCTGATCGTAACTCCGTGGAAATTCGGGGAGGACACAAAACCTATAGATAGACATTTGGTAGAGGCTCTCGCGATTGTGCCCTTGCTCCACCATGCGAAGGGCAAAGGTCGCGTCCTTGTCGAACCAATCAACCACATTGTCATATCCAAGCTTGCGGGCCCTGCTATCGTAGTTCTTCGAAGCCTCAATCTGCTTGGCTTCAAAGGACGTTGCTCCTCTCTTCGCAACATCAGCATAGCCCTTGAAATCGTTGATGAGGAGCTGATCAACCGTCTTGCCAACGCGGTGACTCACCTCCTCGAGCATCTGTGTTCTCCGCTTTGCGGCTCTGAAGAGTTGAACGTCGTTGCCCTCTTTGGTGCTCCGTCCGCAACGCTGGCACTTGAGCTGCCCCTGCATCATGTCCTCGCCGCAGCGGCTGCAGTCCGTGTAGTGGACGGGCATGGCGAAGGTCTTGAACCTGACGACTGAGGTGTCGGCCGCGGGTTGCCCCGGGCGAGAGGCGGCCGTGTCCTCATTCGTCTGCTCTTCTTCAGGATTTGTGGCCCTGTTTCCTTCCGCATCGGTCTGAAAGGCCTCGTCTGCAGTCACAGTGACGGCTCGCCTTGCGGCGAGCGAGTCGACAGTCGTTTGATTCTCCAATGCCTCAAGACGAAGGGCGTTTCTCCAAAGCACTTCACCTGTCTGCGCGTCTGTGTAGTACAGAATAGAGTCATTGGGAACGATGTCGGCAGTCAGCATGACGTCAGACTCCGAAAGGAAAAACACCACTCCGAGCTCGATCGCATACTTGAAGTCGATGACAAGCTCAATGGGCATTGTTGCTCGGACTCCAGCATTATACGATGAGCTCTCTATACCGGGTGGATGGAGAAGTGGCTCTGCGAGCGGCCACCCTCCGTTGCCCCAACACCACCCGGGATCAAACCTGTCCTGACGATGTTCTCGGCTGCGTTCTTGCTCGTGCGATGGTATAGTTTGCCAGGGCCATCCTCGATCAGCGAAAGCTGCAGTCCGACCTTGCGAGCGTCCTCCGGGAGAAACTTCCCGTAGATGGCCTTCGCAAGTGCGTACTGGTTTCGGCTGATGTCGCCATCAGCATCAACGCTGCTGGCGTGTCCCTGACTGGCACGAACGATGACAACCCACTCCTGGTTGTTCTCGGCAGCCGAAGGATGCTTGATCGCAAGAACAGTGAATCTGCATTTCGGATCGAGTGCAAAAATCTTCAACAGCGTCTTGTACCCGATGTTGCTGCGGGTCTTTCTGTTGAATTTGTCACATAGCTGGTGGACGTCGACAAAATAGTTCTCATCGAAGTCGAGTGGCCTCTGTTCTTGAAACCGGCCACGTAGCATTCCAGTTATGGTTGTGCATCGGTCAGTCGAGGAAGGCTCTCCCTTCAGGAAGGTGGGCACTTTCAGGATCGTGCCCAGGAGAATCCTCGCCTCGTACTGCTGGCCGCGGAAGATGACGGTTCCGCCGGGCTTGCCTGGCAATGCGCTTCCGGCAGGGGTTGCCCCCCGCACATCCGATGCCACCGCAGCTGTCTTTGCTTGGAAAAGGCCCTATAGGGTTGTAGTGGATGGGGTTGTAGGCGAGTTGCAAAAACACAAAGCCCTGCCCTCCAATCAGCCCTCAGCCCTGCCCACTTCTGTGTGTGTGTGCCCCTGGGGCTGCGCTAACACCAGAGCTTCAAAAGCGCAGGCATTTTGCCGCACACACCGTGGGCCCATTTGTCGAAGAGGCCGGAGCAATCCGGAGCATGGATGACGGGTTTCATGTAAGAGCAGGCAGTTGCGCTTACCGACGGCGTCCGTAAGCACAGCCAAGCCGTCGGGAGCACATACTCAGCCCCTGGGCGCGCTGTCTATTCTGTGGTTGCGCTTACCGACGCCGCCGGTACGCACAACTGAGCGTTTGAGCCAGTCGCATGGATGGGTGTGGCTTTGGTGAGAAGCCCTTGCTGGACATCATTCACAAGGGGGCTAAGGGGGCTGATATGCGCAAGCCCCTGCTGGGTTGTTACCGCATTTAAACAAATCATGGCCAAATGTGTAATGTGGCTCTTGCTTCGCGCACTCTTGCTTGAGTCTGTGAGCTGGGGGGGCCTGATTGAAAGCCCTTCTGTGGAGAAAAACCGATGCAACTGCAACCCCATCTGCTACAACCCTATAGGCACTCTTCCGATTTGCTTTCGCCTGTGCCTTAGGCGATGCTTTCGCGGTGAACTTGGGTGTAGCCGGAGCGGCCTTGACGCCAAGCGCAGCCTCAGCGGCACTCCCTTGCGGGAGTGCATCATCGTCATCATAGTCGATCTCCTCCTTGATTTCGACTTCCTCGATCTTTTCGAGAATGCGGCCCTTCGCGAGCTTGATAGGACGTTGAAGGCTTTCCCATGACTCAAGCGTGAGCTTCCTGTTCGCCTCATACTCAGCCAAAGTGTACGGATTGAGTCCAGCTTCGGCGTCATGGGAATATTCAAGGTGCAACCTCACGTTGTTGAAATCTTCTTTGTGGGACTCAACGACAGCGACACACTTTATGACGTTGAAAAGCGACCACAACCACTCCACCGTCGTCTTCCGGTTCTCGATGGAGTCCATCATGTGGTAGTTGTCAAGCCTGTCCTGTCGAGACACCAAGAACGTCGACTCCTTCTTGCGAAGGAGCTTGTGCTTGCTGAGCGACTCATCCAACAACTTTTCCATGAACTGGTTGTAGATGGGCGGGAGCATATAGTACGAACCCTCGGTGTTGGCCAAGATCGTGATGTTCGCAATGCCCCACCAACTCCTGCACTCCTCAAGCACATCGATCGCCTTGGCGCACTTGTTGAACAGCTCGGGCCAGTGACCGTCTCCGCATCGGTATGGCCATTCGGGCTCATCGCAGATCCCACCGCCCAACGAGCTCGTTCCCGGACCAGTACACCGTCACGAAGAAGTCATGGTCCTTAAACTCAGGACGTTTCTTGAGGTCCTTCAGGGCGCTCTTCACTGTCCACGTGAGACATGTGAGGTCCTTTCCCCAACACATTCTCACCTCACAGTGGCTAGCGGTTGTAGTTCATGTCCTGCGCGAGGTCCGCCCTCTTGCGGTTCTTCTTGCCACCGCTGATGAGGGCGAGGCTGGAGTCGCTCACGACGAGGTACACGCTATTCCGGCCACAGGTTGCCCCGGGCGTGATGCGGCCAAGGCCTTTGTCATTGACAGCGCAAAGCGTGTCCATGAGTTCCGGCGCGTAGTCAGCCGCCCACATAGCGCATGAGCTTTGGAGAGTGGCTTGTGCTCCGAGGATCTGCTCCATTGTCTTGCGGTCCTCGGGCCTCGTCTCCTGGAACAAAGTGTTCGATGTAAAGCTCGTCATCACTCCTCGATAGTACTCCAAGTTGCCCTCCGAATACTCCCCGAGGTTGTAAGCAGCCATTGCGGCTACCGGTGAGGGAAGCTTAAGAGCAACAAGTGCACGTTTTGTGGGTCTCTGAGCCGAGCTATCGGTGACAACCTGTTTTATGCTGTCAGCAAACTCAGAAAAACATTCATGGATCAGGTCAGTCATTTCATACGTGTAAGATTCAGCACGTTTGAGGGCCGCCCCCCTGGACTGTCCATGCTGATGATCCTTTGTGCACTTATACTGTTGCAGATTGGCCAACGATTGACAGGAAGAAGCAATAGTCCATGACTTTTGCAACAACAAACTTCCATCCTTGTCCAGGACGCCAAACATGCAACCATCGCAATTGTACTTGACCATCTCATATTTCATGAGGAAATCATGCACGAAATAGTTCTTTAACTGCAAAGCTTAGGAAGTTCCATGTTGATCACAAGCACAATGTCAAGCTGTCGAAGCATAGTGATAAGTTTGTCCAAACGCTTCAGCAGTTTGCGAAACAACGCCTTGTGCTCCTGGATCTTGGCTTGACCTTTTTGAGTCTGACCATTGATATTGTTCCAGGGGCACCCACCCGTAAACGGAAGTGAAGCATGAAGCATCACGCAGGGCGGTGAAAAGTTGCACCTCGTCAAATACCCATTGCAACGTATCAGCAACCAACGCATTCTGACGCTCAGTTACTCTAAGCACCTTGCAACCAA